ATGCCACAGTCCTCAGAGAAGGTACAGAGTGAAACTGACTCGGAGCCACATGTGTGATTAACCACACATCCCATTTGGCTCGGCCTGCCAAGAAGCTTCCAGCCAAATTTCAAACTCAATCATACCAACCACATTAACCCAGATGGCTAACGAACTACACTTTTCTTTTTCCTTTTGTCCTCATTTTGCATTTCTGCTTACCCTGTTGGTCTGTCTATTGTTATAAGCCCATCCCAAATCCTTTTTTTGGAATGTGGCAGAGAATAAGCAAATCCATGAAAGTTAAGAAGGGTTCTGAGCTTTCTGACACTGAAGTTATTAAACCTGGCCCCTTTCCCATGACAATGGAGCCTCACCCCACCCCTACAGCCAGTCATTGGCACACCCTTCAACAGTCGCTCCTTTAATGTCAAAACAAGTACATAAATTTAAACGCTCATTTCTTTTACAGGCAGACTCAGAGATACTGCGGGTTTGGTTCCAGACCACCACAATAAAGTGAGTTGTAATCTTTTTGCTGGTGGAGGGTCTGTGAAAAACGTAACATCTGTAAAGCACAATAAAGCCAAGCGCAATGCAACAAGGTCTGCTATAATATATACGCATATGTAATGCTAACCAGAGGCTTATCCTCAGCAGCTTTTCATAATGAGCAAGTAATTAGATAGGTCGGAAATAGAAAAGACACATCACCACATAAAAGCAGGTCACAATAAAAATTAGATGATAGGCAGCAAAATTGTTGCCATTCCAACAACTAATGAAAGTATGTAACTGTAAACAAGCCAGTGGTGGTGCTATAACCCTTCTGGGAAATTGAGCCACCCTGAGGGACCAAGCTGACAGGGAGTGAGGGGTGAGGGGTGAGAGTGCATTTCACTTTGAAGTCAAAGAGCACAAGGAGCTGGTTTTATAGGATGAGACCCGCCTGCTTATTCTAAAAGGTAGAGCTGATTTCTCAGGGCTGTTTACCCCCTTCTGCCTTCCTCTGTTGCCAGAGAGTCGTTTTCCAGCTTCCCGTTCCCTTCCAAGGCTGTTGTTTCCAAAACCAATGATTACAAATTAGAGGTATGGTTTCAGATGAAAAATACAACTATAGGTCTGTGCTGTCCTGATGAGAGAACCCCACAGGGAGGCCAATGGCAAAACAGGGCTTTGCCACAGAAGGCTCTATATACATTATTGTAACAAGTGGGTCTCGGATACAAATTCTCTGCTGGCCTATAAAAGTATTTATCCAACTTAAATGTAATTGTTTCTCCAAAGCCTGTCAACCTGCTGTGGTTATTGCTTCCAGGTGAAGGCTCTTGTCACCTCCACCACACAGGAAAAGCAGCAGCCTCTTCTCAGCTGCAGAACACCTTAAGGTGCCTGGAAGGTCGGAATTTGGTAAAATGTTAGAGTCAGATGATTTATAAGAGGCCTTAATGCTGATCATACACCAATAACAAGCCAAGGGGAAATAGGGTTGATTTAGTAATTACCTCACATTTAGGAGGACATCACGAAAAGTTAACTACAGCGGTCATCAGTCAAGCTCAATTACGGCATGGAACCAGGAGGGCATTCCTTATGCTAATTTATAAGCAACAACATTTATCATTTCATTTTGAGAAATATTTGCCTTTAACACCCACAAAGGCTGCCTCTGGTCCTCCCACTACTGCCCTAAAAACAGATCGGCTGTGATTTTTAGCACAGACATATAACAGCATATCTATAAAAATCAAGTTACCAAGGGAGAATAACAGAAATAGTTGGGTACGTTTACGTTGGAGGAAGCAATGTTGGTTAAAAAAAAAAAAATGAATACAGTTAAGGTAAACTTTATGAGCTAATTAGAAATATAGGCAGGTCAAATTATTGTTTAAATAGCTTTCCTGAGATAAAATCCACATACTATAAAATGTGCCCATTTAAAGTAGAAGTCAGTGGGTTTTAGTATATTCACATTTATCAATGGTATTTAGTATATTCAGTTGTGGAACCATCACCACAATTTAATTTTAGAACATTAGTCCCCAGCAAAAGAAACCCTGTATGTACTCATTAGCAGTCAATCCCCTTTTCTCCCTTCTACCTTCCAGCCCTAAGCAGCCAGTAATTTACTTTCTATCACTATAAACTTGTCTATTCTGGACATTTCATATAAATGGAATCATATAATATGTGGTCTTCTGTGTCTGTCTTCTTTCTGTTAGCATAACGTTTTCAAGGTTCACTCATGTTGTTGTACGTATCAGTACTTCATTCGTTTTTATTGCTGAATGGTATTCCTGTGTATGCATATACCACATTTTATTTATCCATTCATCGGTTGATGGACATTCAGATCATTTCCACTTTTTGATTATTCTGAATAATGCTGCTATGAACATCTGTGGACAAACTTTTGTGTAGATATATGTTTTCATTTCTCTTGAGTACCTTTGTACTTAGGAGTGGAATTGCTGGGTCATATAGTTCAAATGATTTTTAAAAACTGTTTGCATGGCTGCAGAAATGTATCTCCACAGTCACATATGAAGAAAGTGAGAGAGATTTAATATTTCTCCACTTCCATCTTACCATCCATAAACAGTCTTTCATTCTCTCTGCTGTGGCCTCCCTGCTCTGGTGTTCTCTACACTAACTCCATACACATCGCTCTGAGGTCCACTGCATGAGAGCAGCTCAGAGCCAGATGGAATTTCCAAAGATCACTTATCCTCAACATCTTGTTTTCCAACAGGACTGAACTACAATCATCTAATTCTTTTTTTTTTTAAGACTTTTTATTGGGGAATTGGGGGGATGGGAACAGCGCTGGGGAATTGGGGGAAGGGGAACAGATAAGTTGCTGTTGTCTTGTTCTTCAGTCTAGTTGTGGAGGACGTTGCTTCACTGGCCCAAGTTGGCACCATCATTGCTCTCTTCCCGGGTGAGGCAGATCAGTCGCCGGCTTCTGGACGGCCGCTCACAGGGGCTGCTGGCCGCTCACG